ACATAACCTCATAGTACAACAAATAATGTATTGAAGTGATCATGAAGCATGCTTAGTTTACAAGACAGGCGGGCTCGAGAAGAAAAAAAACAACGTGCTGTCGGGTCCGCACATCGGAGAACAACACATGACAGCTACTTTTTAGATGGATACCGCCAGAACACTCTGGGATTTCTCCATAATGAAGGCTGTTAACGCTGTGTACCCGCGTGACATTTGTGTCAACACCATGCCACTGCACAGCTCTTGGAAGTGTGCCAGGGCCAAGGAAGTGTACCGTGCTTGAGCACAGATCGGAGCGCTCACACTAGTCTTAACAAACTGGACCTTAGGGGTGAAGCGTGCTTGGGCACGGTACGGATTGCCTAGTGGGAGTGCGCCCTTAGTTGCAGCTAGTACGGCATCATACTCTTTCATCTTGTTGTGTTTGTTTATGAAGACAAAAAGACGCTGCTCATCAACACAAGGATAGCTTAAGGTTTTAAAAATGATGCTGTGTATGATGACATTATTTCAACTGCCTGCTTAGACACAGAACATCATTTAGTGTCCTACCACAAAACACAACATTTCTCAATTCAAATACATTTATTATATTTTGTTGGAACTGATGCCAACTCGTCAAGAGTGAAACAATTCAATAATGAGAATAAATAGGAAAACAATGAATGTGAGTCATAAAAAATGAATAAAATAAATTCTCCATAACCGTCTTAAACTCTCTCTTTGTGCAGGGGGAAGACATAGTGTTCTTGGCGACAGATATCAACCTGCCTGGCGCAGTGGACTGGGTGATGATGCAGTCGTGTTTCAGTCACCACTTCATGCTGGTTCTGGAGAAGCAGGAGAAGTACGAGGGTCACCAGCAGTTCTTCGCTGTCGTGCTGCTCATCGGCACCAGGAAGCAGGCCGAGAACTTTGCATACCGCCTCGAGCTCAACGGCAATCGACGGCGGCTCACCTGGGAGGCCACGCCGCGCTCCATCCACGACGGTGTGGCCGCTGCCATCATAAACAGTGACTGCCTGGTTTTCGACACCTCCATCGCACATCTGTTTGCCGACAACGGAAACCTGGGGATCAACGTCACTATCTCCATGTGCTGACAGGGTGGAGCGGCATTTAGAGGACAGATACAGAGAGACACGATCGAGGGACAATTTAAGAGCAACAAAGGTGTAAAGTTGACCCTCTTGTCTCGTTCTGACTTTACAGGGACTGCTGTGTACATGAGCTTATACAGCGGGAATTTGTTATGCAGGAAAAAAACATTTGAACAGCTTTTCAAACAGATACCTACCTGCTCCGCCCCGTGAGATGTCTCTTTGGTATTTGACGACTGGTTGGGACAGTACAGGTCGTCCCTCTGTCCTTCGATCGCTAAAGGAAAAGTGGACAAAATCTCCACCAGCAAACGGCATCAGGCCGGCTGCTTTGACAGCCATCCGTCATGCTGGACTCACACTGAGCAAGGCTGAGTTTACTCTCTTGGAAAGAAGAAATCTACGTCTCCAACAAACAGCACCTCTATCAGACTTCCTGTCAGACAGATGCGTTTGCAATATTCTGCTCTTTGCTGTTCATAAGCAGCTTTCAGTCCGGGTCGAGTCTATATTGAGTCTATTTGGGTTGTCATGATTGCAGAATTTTAAACTTTGATACGATTCTAGTAAAAATCAAACAGTATCGACATCTGTTTTAATACCCCGACAACAAAAATAGAAGATTAAAGCACCAACTTTTGGGTTATTTCTTGTCTAAGTAAACTCATGCACACTGTCTTAATTGTACAATTATTCTGGAAATGTGCAATTTAGACCGTGTGTGGGAGTTTTCCTGATGTTTTTGATAACTTCTACACACCAGATGTGTGGAATAAATTAACTTTTTTCCAAGCTCCGTTACATTTTGATTCTATTTTTTTCTGTGGTATAGAAACAGGTCTCAATATTGTTTGATTTTTTACTAGAATCATAGAAGTTCAAAATTCTGGTACTATGACAACCCCAACACAAGATACACTGGTATGAAAAAAGTTAAACATTTGCATAGTAGCTTAAGAGGCCTTGACTCTGTTTGTCGAGGCTGCTGTTACATTAAAGTTGAATAATGTGAACACACCTCTCGTTAAATGAGTAAAGTAGTGCAATGTGTGAGAGGTTGCTGGTTCTAATCCCTGCAGCAGCAAAGTATCTGACAGCTTTTTGACATTTTGAAAACTCGTCTGCCACATTTTGGAAGTGTGTGACCTCTGTGGAAGCAGGTGAGCTTTGGAATCCGGTTAATCCTCAGACCTTTCTTAATCTCAGATAAAATCAGTGAAATAGAGGACTAATCCTCCTGTCCCTCTTCCTGCAGTCCGTTTAGCCGCCAGCGCCTTACTTTTCTACCGCCAACCTCCTCTTCTTTGTGTTGGAGCTCTTTCTGAGGGAGTCTTGGTGCTGATGTGGTTTTTAATCACTGAAAATCTGCCCGGGGGGGTGGGGGGGGGAATGAAACAACTGAGACTCTTTTGCAGAAATTCTAAAATAAATATTATTTAACAGAAATGTTGTTAGCTTGGTTGAAGCCGCAGTGACACGATGCATGGACATTAGTATCTCTAAACACTCACTGTAGGTAATATTAAAGATTTCCCAACATTCCTTATCTCTAAACCATTGTAGCAACTGACCAGGAAGAAATCAACTTCACCAGATACCTCTGATCACAGACTCGTTTGTAACTCAACCACAAACCCCTCAGACCTCAGCAGCGCTTCCTCCGTGTTTTTGTGTGAGAAAACCAATCTAAAAGGGGAAAAATTCAACTACATCACTCTGTGATTTTCTAAAAGACTAACCCCTGAAATGTGACGCAATAAGGAATGGCTCTCGTTTCAAATAGAATAGCTATTAATAATAAAGTTTGCTTGGCAACCTTTCAGATTTTCTACTAATATGAAATTGAAGATTAAAATTTCGGAATTGTGACAACCTTAAGGCCAACTAAATGATAGCTAATTATTCATTAAGATATAACTTTGTTATAAGGCAAGCTAAAATTAGGTTTTTAAGTTGGATAAATATTGACTGATATACATTAGCTTGCTATAGGACTAGTTTTCCAGCAGCTAAGAGGTCAATTCACAATTCTCATGCAGAGTACACTAGTTGTATATCTCCTCAAAGACGTTCCTTAGTTAGCTAACATACAAGTGTCTCGGCTAACATAGCAGTAGTAGTCTACTGGGTCTTATTTAAAATTTGGCTGTGTACTTTAGCTTTCTAGACACCTTTTTATTTTAGCAGGTCAGAGCTACTTTTGCTAAGCAACATTAGCTTGCGGGATAACTCTGTAGCATGCTAATCTATCATGGATGTGTTAGCCAAGATACTTATTAGTTGGCTAAGTCTTGGCTTAAATTTTGTTCGTTATTTATTCTTGACAATTAATGTATCTTAGCAGACATTGACAAATTAACTTGTTAAGGTTTTGGCCAAGATCTGTAAATTGGAGGTTTTAGCTAAAGGAATACCGGTAGATCTGGCTTGTTGAAAAACAAAGTTAAGATCCTGATTAGTTAGCTTACTATTGCTAAGTCTTGGCTGAGATTGTATGAGAACTGTTCTGTTAACTAAGATCATATTGATATGATATGATATGCATTCACTGGCTAAATAACTGTTGCAATCAAAATAATGGATTTGAGGTTCATTAGAGCAAAGTTATTATCTAATAGTTTTCTATTTCAATTTTTGGTGGTGTTAAAGTGACAAAACACATGAAAATAATTTATTGAAGAATAAAAAAACACAGAGGAAACGCTGCTCTATAATCATCACTTTCACTTTACAACCTGCCGACTTTCGATGAAATGTTTAAAGATATTGTAAAAAAGTTGTAATAACAGTATATATTTTCTATAAACAGAGACTGCTGCATTTATTCCTGTGCTGTTTTGGACATGTATTTGTGTTAGCGTTTGCTCGGATGTACAGAGATTTTCATATTTTCTAAGGTGTTTCTGATATTGTTGTTAACTCTCCTGTTCTGCTGCTGTAGTTTGATGAAATGTCGCACCTCAAAATGTGTTATGGGGTATAATAAAGACAAGGAAGTCAACCAGGGACTACTATCAAAAACAACTGTTTATTTTTCCCCCTAATAATGCAGAAATACCTTATTCATAATGAAGTGAATGGTGTGTTCATGTACTGTTTCTATTTTTGTTTTAAAACTCTGAATCACTAGGACAAAAGGTTAGCAGCAGTATTTATGAACCTCTGCTCCAAAAAGCAAGTGGACCACTACGACTCCCAAGGTGCAGTTCACTACAGACAACCAATCACAGCTTCACACTATTTTTAATGAGTTAAAGCTTAAAAATACATTTTACTGAACTTCAATGGAACATGTAATTTACTAGTCAATATCTCCATAGCAACAGAAGCTGAGACTTATGGGTATTGTAGTTTTGAGCAATCAACCAAAATGGCCTACATTTTTTATTAAGTAAATAATGATAATTAATTTCTCATAATATTTAAGATACTAAGACTTTGTCTAATAACATCTTAAATGACTTTATATTTCCGTAAAATTGACTGTTGGTTATTCCAGGATTATTTAATATAATTTACAATAATTCACCTTGATTATAATTCTTGTTTTGAAAAGATACTGTTATCAAATGTATTCCTGTAGTAAAAGCTGGAAATGTACACTGTCTGTTAAATAAGTCCTAAATTAAAGTTTTCTCCAGATATCATCTTGATCAACGTTTTTTTTTTTTTAAGTATGGCCTTTGCAGAGCTGCCAACCTGGCTGCAGACTCTATTTAAATATTTACACTTTAATAACATTGAATACTATCAGCATACTACTAAGCATGTTCCTAATAATATAAACCAATGACAGCCAGGAAAGTAAGATACATTTGTCTAAATCAGTCAAAGGGACACACTTGTATTTTTTACATATATTGATATCACCATGATATCTGAATTATATCAAATCCATAATGTTGCAAACACTGACACATACCTGTGTTTTATTCCAAAACTCATACAAAAAACACATACAAAAATGCACTTTTCTGGATGGAAAATTAGCCATCAAACAACAATATCTTTCTTTTTAAGAGATTTGTTAAACAACTGTATCCTTAAACTTGTTTTATTCAACTGATTGAATGTCAACCTTTGGGAATGTAAACAAAAATAACTTCTTTGTCACAATAACTACAAAGAATTTAAGCATTACAACCATTTAAAGCAATAAATTCACATTTTAAATCCATTGTACAGTCTTGTTTGATAAGCACTTAAATGTGCAGGTTATGTAGTAAAACACTGCAGCCTCTAGAGAGTGCCAGCATTACTTTAAACCTTCTGTAATCCAGAAAAACATCAAACATTTGGAAAATGATAAAAGATATCACTATGTACTTTACATTTGACATGTTTTTACATCATGAAACCAACAGATAGATTCTCAGTGCTTACGTGATGGATCTCTGTCTCTGTCTGTTTCTCTTCTTCTATCACTTTCTCTGTCGCGGTCGGTTTCCCTTCTTCTCTCACCATCTCGCTCTGTTTCTCTCCTCCTATCACCGTCCCTCTCCCTTTCTGTCTCTCTTCTTCTGTTGTCATCTCTGTCCATCTCTCTTCTTCTATCACTGTCTCTCTCTCTCCCAGTCTCTCTTTTTCTCTCATACTCTCTGTCTGTCTCTCTCCTCCTATCACCCTCTCTGTCTCTATTCCTCCTCCTCTCATCCTCTCTCTCTCGTTCTGTCTCTCTCCTCCTCTCCTCCTCCCCTCTCAGTCTCTCGTTGTCCCTCGTCGCTCTCTGTCCATTCTCCTGTCCTCCTGGTGGCTCCCCCCTCTGGTTATATTTGCTATATCCAGGATCCTGCTTCTCCTCTTTGACTCTAACAGGAGGAGGAGAAGGAGAAGAGGAAGAGCATTTCCCCATCTCTTTTTCTCTCTCCTTTTCTGCTTTCTTTTTCTCCTTCTTCTCTTTCTTCTTTTTCTTCTTCTCTTTCTTGTCTGAAGCAGAGGGGAATGAGAGGTGAAACAAACATTTTATTTCACAGGCATCCTTGTTTAGTTTAACAGTTATACCGCCCCATGGTGGCAAAACATAATAACTGCATATTTTATAATAACATTATACTGTATCTGACTTTCTGATCAACCTGAGTCTCTGTATAAGAGATTTTTTTTTTACTCTCTTTATATTTGCAGTCACAGCAAAACCATTCTAAATGATTTAATGAGACAGCAGGAAAATCAATCACATAACCAACAATTACATTCCTGATAAAGGCAGCGTACTAAGCAAATTTCAGTTATTGTTCCAATCTTTTGTGCTCAAACTACATCTAAGTAGTCAATATAAATATGAATCATCTAAGCAACACAACCGATCATTTCTAGATACCGGTAGTGATTTTTAATGTCTGTAAACTCTGCAGTGAGGTCAGGGGTCACCGCTCACAGCGCTACTGAAACAGCATCTGTCAAAAACATTTTGAGCAAATATTCACAGTGAATGACACAACTGACTTCAAATACAGTAGCAAAGGTATGAAACACAACTCATGAATCCAAAAGGACAAGATCAGCAAAGACATAAGATGTACCACTAAGGCAACCAAAAGTTCCTCATGGGAGCTTTAAAGGTATACTCTGCAACGTTCAAGAGTAGATGTCCAGTAGATGACACGCATGTCAGTGACCGATCTCTACTCAGATATGCAACCCAATGAAAACTCAGTTCTTAATTCTTTGTAGATTATATACAGAAAAAAAGTATTTTCTTCAGTTTGGAAAGTCTGTTTGTCCTCCTCCATTACATTGCACTCTTGGCATAAAATTCCCCCATTATGATTCTACTAACAGAGAGGGCCCTGTCTCCTCTTCCCCCACATGGTGGCAGGGCTCAAGGTTGTTTCAGACAAACAAACCTTTGCCTGAAGCCACTGAGGAAGGGCTTTGCCTGAAATGTCTGTGCAGCAATAAAAGAAGACATTTAAGTCATTGGACTGCAGTCCTGGAGTATTTTTGACAAGATCTGTTGAGGATTCAACATCAACACACTTTACTGAGGGTGAGTGTGATCTCTGATGTACTATATTAATGTTTAAAATGTTTCATATTATACCTTTAAGTTTGGTGTCTAAGATGATTAATGGTTTTAATATCAGCAAGAAATTAAAGTCAGTCATTCCAACTTTTACGTTTATGTCTCTAAACACTTTCTCCTCACCAATACTGATCCAGTAGTTACTGCTTTCCACCTGTAGAGGGCAGTGTGAAGGATCAATTAAACACAAGACGATGTAATCTCACCTTTTTTGGGCTTCTTCACAGGGATGGCGTACTGCTCATCTTCCTCTTCCTCTGAGGAGGAGGAGGAGGGCGGTGGCGGCGGGAGGAGTTTAGGAGCACAGCCCTGCTCCCTCAGCTGTTTGGTGACATCATCAATGTCCTCCGAGTCTTTGGGAGGACGGTAGTCTTTAACATGGTCCACGCGGATGGTCCGACCTTTAATCTGCGTGCAAACACAACACAGAGAGGATTTAGATCACAAAATGATGACACATTAGAGAACGAAGATGAACACTGCTATATTTCTAATGTTGTTTTGTGTGTTAGCGCAAATGTAACGACTGAATTTACCTGTATGGATTAATAAAGTATTTCTGATTCTGTTCCTGTTTCCTGACACTTTATAAGTAAAATACTGTACAAAAATCAAATGATATAAACATAACTTCTCCTATTTTTATAAATCTGCCAATCCACATGCTGCCCAAAACCAATATTCAATGTGTTGCAGTCTGCATGTTGTAGCTTCATACTAAGCTTGAACACATCAGTCATATTAAGGTTGTCAAAATGTTCACTACTTTGATACGTCTTTATTTTCATGATTGACAGTATCAAAAAGTATCACATCTTTAAAAATAAATACAGATCATCAGTTTACATTTTTTACCTAAATCTGCCGCAAGAGAGAGAGAGAGAGAGAGAGAGAGAGAGAGAGAGAGAGAGAGAGAGAGAGAGAGAGAGAGAGAGAGAGTCGAAATTGCAGAAATACATTGCCTAAACGTAGTCCGTTCAAGAATTCTGCAATTAAACAGCTAATAACAATTTTATGATGTTTTTTTGTCTAAACTGCACACAAACAAAGAAGGTTTGGAGGAATATTTCTGAGCAAACATCAGTCAGGAGCAGTGACATAGGGACGGGAAATGTGCAGCAGGCTGACATTATCAGCTGTAATCAATCAGTCAGCTTACGTGTAGGTTGAATCCACAACAAACCATTTGAAGTTTTTGTGTACAGGCTAAACAAACACTTGTTTGAGTACATCAGCTGTGTCACCTTGATGCCGTTTAAGTTGTCCACAGCCAGGATGGTGCTCCGCTGGTCCTCATAGCAGATGAAGCAGAAACCTTTGGACTTCCCGGTCTTCTTGTCTCGCACCAGGTTAATGTTCACGATCTCTCCATACCTGCAGAGAGAAAAAGAAAGTTCATCTTCATGTTCTCTGATCTGTGGCTGCTGCAGTGAGGGAGGACAGGTTGGCATCTACATCACAGCAGAGTGTCAGAGGATTGTTAAAATGACACAGGTACGTACTGGGAGAAGACGCAGATGATGTCACCTTCACTCAGTTCGTATGGAAATCCTCCTTCAGGAATAAAACACCACCATTTAGTAGTTTGTTCCTCTGTTTGTCATTTGTCAATTCTCAGAGAAACTATACGACGCAAGCTGGTGATAAAAACAAGGAAAACATTACTTCCTGATCCAAGCGGTTATGTTCCATCTTACCGATAAAAATCCAGGCGCTTTCTTTGTACTCGCTGTGCCAGGAAACAGACTCATTCACCCCGAGTTTGGCCTCTCGCTCATTCAGCTCATTGATCAACTTCACCTTCGTCAGTGGACTGAAACCCAAAAGTCAGAGAAATGTTTCATCTTTTGCACCATTATGCTAAGACTTACCATTTTAATCTGAACTCTTGAGTTGAAAAGGAACAGGAGCTTGTATATCTGTGAGGTTTTATTTTAGTATAAAGAAGATTCATCCTGGTCCTGAAGAATTAAATCCAAACCGTTAACATCCATGGATGTGTTTTTATGTATTATTGCAAACTGGTTAATTTAAGTCCCCCAATTGTCCTAGCAATAAGGTTGACAACATTTTCAATTCTTCAACCCTTTTGTGATACCACACAATTTAAAACTATACAGTAGGATCCCCACCACCCAGGTAACGGACTGTTTACATGGCTACCCTCTGGCAGGCGCCTTCGACACATCAAGGCGAACACAGAAAGACTCAGGAAGAGCTTCTTTCCTCAGGCTGTCCGGACTGTTAACTCCACTCTCCTCAGTTAAAAACATAAACAGAACTAAACAAAACAGAACTGTGATTACACGACGCACACACACCACACATTCCAATCTGCACATTGCACACTGACACTTTACACTGTTTACATTACTCTATATTTTATATATTCAAACATTTCTTTTTTAAATTTTACATTATATTTCTAGTTTACTGAATATACGTGTATTAGTAATCTGAGTGTTTATTGCACGGCCTTGCAGAACAGCCTTTTACATTTCACTGCACATCTGTATGAGCGTGTGACAAATAAAAATCTTCAATCTCTGTTATATTAATAATCAACAGTATCAAAAAAAACAAAAGAACAATGTAGGCGATGAATAATTCTATCAAAAAAAAAAAGTGTATGCAAACTCCTACACACTGCCAAAACACAGGCAACCAATGAGCGTAAACAATAATGCAATTAAGACTTCTCAGGTTATTTGCAAACAACGTTCAAGGTGAGAAATTGGCAGTGTAAAGTGAAAATCTGAGGCAGTATAAAAATCCTTTAAGATTCTCTTCTTGGAGAAACATCACACCACACTACATTTACTTTGAAGCTAATTTGACATCTTGTTTTACAAAGTGGCAGAGACAAATAAACATGTACTGCAAGATAATAATTAAACATTGAACTCAACACATCAAAAACAACCTGTAACTGGTTAACTCAAATCAAGCACAATAACAACACAGTCTTTAATACACAGTATGATTTGTGAAAAACTACAAAACTGCTGTAATTTTTTATTTATCACTTATTTCCTTCTTTGACGAAGTTTACTTTCTAACGCATTTAAAAGATATCTTCACAGTTTGACGATAAAGGGAGTTAACTATTATATATAGTAATATAGTTAAATAGTTAACTATGTTTGATAGCCCTTAGCACTAGCTTGCACATAAGCCCACATACATCGACTCATAATAATAATAATAATAATAATATATATATTATAATAATAATGGTAGCTTAAATTAAGTCTCAAGAGTGGATAAACACTCGTGCCTTTTCCCCAAAATAATATACTTCAGTTAAAGTGAAGACTTACTTCATGGTGAACCAGGTTGAATGGGACAGAACGACGATGTTATGGTCGAACTACAGAAAATAACTACTTCCGTAGTAACTTCCGCTTCTGTCGCCGCCTTCAGTTCGGATGACTCTACTACAAGCTACCTTTATGTGGCTAACACATTCAGAAGCTTTAAAAAATGGTATATAACCAGCGGCCCGTTACATTTATTTTAAACAATTGCTTGTTTGGAATAAAAATATGTTATTTGACTCGATTAATGCAGTAAAATAAATGTTGGTTTGTTCCGCCTGTACAGCAGGTGGCGCTGTGGACTCTCCTCTTTCTGCTGAGCCGGATAATAAACAGAAAGTCTGTCAGAGAGAGCAGGCAGCACTCAGCAGCAGCAGTGTTTGTAATATTTACTGTCGTTGATTTGTACTGCAATCCGTGGCATTATAACTCATAGTTTAAGTAATCAATCCTCTTCACTGCATTAAATATGTGTGACTGAAAACCTACTTCATGTGAGTAAAACTGGATCGGCTGCACAAGGTTCACATTCTCGGGATTTCTAAAGGAACCTCCTCCTGAATGTATTCAGTTTGAGCTCTCTACTAGTTTTGAAACCCAATGTGCATGTCGAAAGCACAGTGTGGAAACATTGTGACTCCTCTTTGAACTTAAATAAGTCAGCAGATAAAAAGCTCTAATGGTAACTGAGACTGGAAAATTGTGCAATTGAATAACTTAAAATATACAAATGTGACACAAAGGTGTTGTTGAAATAAACTTTTTTACCAAGGGTTTAAATAATGTTTTGGCAAAGTTAAAATTGTTGGTTTATTTAATGGAATTTGCTCATAGATTTCCCTCCCACAGTAAGACTTAACACTGCTTTTTTAATGCCTATTTGTGGCTAAATTCTTTGAGACAAGTCACCCACACTAAAGATTAGTGCTTTATAAATTTAAATAATGTATTAATTAATGGGGCTTTATTGATTATAATTCGTGTTTGCTTGAAACCTGACCGACTATACTTAATACCACCGATAGGGGGAGCTGCAACATGACACTTCACTGATGAAGTAAAGCAAAAATCCAAAAATGGGTTATTTTGGCATTTATTTATCGATGTGTGTCTCTGTCTGTAGCTTGTCTTTCTGTCTCACAGCAGGATGATCTCTCAGGTCTTCATCTTGTCCTCAAAGGGCGACCACCTCATCTACAAAGACTGTATCCTCCATTTATTGTCACGTACAAAACATGTATATGACAAACCGATGAACCCTTCTTTCTTAATCAATATACACAATATATATAATATTTCATAGGCATACACTAGGTCTATCTACTTTATGTTACATCACATGTTGTTTTATATTAATATGATATATCCTTCTATTATACCATTTGACATCTGGTGTTATTCAGATTATTGCTGTTTTGATAGATGATACACTAGAGATACCTTTTTAACAATAAATCCTAAAAGTTCCCAACCAATCCTGATCCTGTTCTTACTAAGAAATCATTCTTATTCAACAAGTCTTAACTTTGTCATCAGTCCGCGGAGAAGCAGGAAGTGATGCTGTCAATATTTTCTACGAGAAGGTCACAGCGCTGACTGGAGACCAGCCTCCAGTTGTCATGGTAACACTGTTTATGTGTGTGTGTGTGTGTGTGTTAGAATGTTTGGAGGCTCTGTACGCAGCATTCAATGATTGATGCGTCACGTTGGATAAATGAATGAAGTTGATGAAAATTGAATGAATTGTAGAATTCATTCAGAGGGTTGTACGTCACCTGCAGCTTCACTCTCACACATTCACAACATACCAATAAAACAATAATAAAAGAATAAAATGAATGAGTTCAACCAAAGCCGAATGAAGTCTCCGCATTAACATCAGGAGCGTCATGTTATTACTTTACATTTTACACCATGGACCTTAAACAGTCTTGAATTGTTTTTGTTTTTCAGAATCACAAAGATCTTCACTTCATCCACGTCAGACAGGGCGGGCTGTACTGGGTCGCCACGACAACAGCCGACTCCTCCCCCTTCACTGTCATTGAGTTCCTCAACAGGTACTTATATATGTATACATATTTATCCACAGATAGATAGTAGTGTTTATTCAGTACATACATGAGTTGAGAACATTAAAACGGTAAAAGGGTAAGAAAATTATGAAGGGAAAAGAAATAGGAAATGTGTTAAATCGGGGATGTTTTGTGATAAAGAGCAGGATCATATTGGAACCTACAAAGAAACTACAGATCCATGGATTAAAAGAGTAAAAAATGAAAACAGTTACTTTTTAGAAGTAGTTACAGAGAAAGCAGGAGAATAAGACCGTTTTTTTCTTCTTCTGAAAACACACCTGATAAAAGGTTTGGTCATCTTATATTTGGGTGATTACAGTACTTGAGTAAATCTAGTCAGTATATTTCCAGCACTGCTCATTTAAAGCTGTAATACAGTTAGATGGCTGATTTTATGTCACAATCTGCTGTTCACTTGAAGAAGTAAATCTAGAAATATGAAAATCCTTATCCTTATTCATTAAAATATTGACCCTAAACACACACAGGAGCTTGGGAGTGATGTTTATTTAATGATTAGTTGTAATGAGTTAACAGGGAGGATGAAGCCGTTTGTTTCTCTCTGTGTGACTCTGTGTTTCAGACTAACAGCTCTGGTCAAAGATTACTGCGGCAGCCTGTCTGAGAAGTCTGTGCAGATGAACTTTGCTCTCATCTATGAGCTGCTGGACGAGGTGGTGGTGAGTGTCTTTGTCTCAGGTAGCTCTCCTATGAAAGTCGTAAGGTACCCCACCTTAAAGGGATACTTCACCCGTTGAAACATGAATCTGTACTGACATTAGGTCATATATGTAGTAGAAATGTGAAATACATTTTGAAGTTGGTGCCTTCTTGGCCCAGAAAAGGCAGAAAGTGTCTTTTGGCTCATGTGGATGAAAGACACCAACTCCCAGAATGCACAGCACAGCAGGCCACTCCCACTAAGGTCCTCGATTTCAGAATCAGAATCAGAAATACTTTATTAATCCCAGAGGGAAATTCGATCGTTACAGTTTCTCCAAAATATACAGTATAGCAGTAGAAATATAGTAATAAAAACATTTACAGACATATTTACTTCAACACATGAGGCCATTTCCAGATTCTGAGATTTCTACAGAATTGATCTTGGAAATTCCTGGCAGAAAACAGACTCTATGTCTGTGTCCATAGACAAACAGTGAGAGCACCGACGCTACCAGACTGCCTCAGCTTAAGGCGGCCCCCGGCTCCTCGTCCTCATGCCGCCGACAGGCAGGCCTTATGTCTCGCTGCTGAGCTGGCAGCGGCCGATGGCGGCCAGCAATATAGCCGCCAGACGGTTGCTGCCGACAGGCCGGTCTTGTGTCGCGGCGGCGGACGTTAAGTTTTGATTCTGGGAGTTCCCACCCACTGATCTGTGATTGGTCTGTAGCTTCAGTGGTCGAAAATATGAGGAACTAGTTTTGTAGTTTCACCTCGCTAACCGGAACAGCTTCCAGTGACGTAATATGACAATATTTGCGTCACTGGAAGCTCCTTTTCAGACTTAGAAATAGAGAACTTTCCAGTCTCAGGGAGAAATGAGGGCTGGGTGCACGACCTTTCGAAAATACTACCAGTTTACTGCTGATACATGCTTAATGCAAGTGGGTGAAGTATCCCTTTAAATATTCAGCCAAAAAAAACACACCAGGATTACTGTGTTGCTAACTACTGCTACCATCAGAGCAGGACTGAAGCGGACATCTTTTGAGCAATAATAAAATACTTTTAGTGATGTAGGGTTGTCGCAGTACTAGAATTTAAACTTTGATTCTTGTAATAACCAAACATTGCAGATGAATTCCCCTACACAGTCTACATTTTACAAAGACATTGCCAACATATTTGTGTAATTTAGACAGTGTCACCACCTCTGCTCTTTGTTTGTTTGTAAGAGAAATAAACATAACTTTAGGTTCTTTATGAGACGCCAAAAAAGAACTTGAGAAAGTATTTACCGACCTGTGAATCTGAACAGACCACAGCTGCTCTCTTCCTCTCGCTGAAGCTTTTGGTTGCAAATACGACTGAAGATGTAATGTTTGGTACTTTTCGATACTACTGATCATTGAAATATCAGAGATTGTATCGTTTTAAAACATGTGCTAAAAGTTTTTGATTAATTGAAACATTTGAAAACCTTAGAGACGAGTGGCTGCAACATCTGAATTCTTAATTTATCTGTGTGTGTGTGTGTGTGTGTGTGTGTGTGTGGTGGTCAGGACTTTGGTTACATCCAGACCACATCTTCTGACGTCCTGAAGAACTTCATCCAGACTGAGGCGGTCTCCTCTCGACCGTTCAGCCTGTTCGACCTCAGCAACGTCGGCCTGGTACGTTATAACTAAAAACATCAGCTTGACATGATTCTGAATTTATCGTCGTCATTAAAAGTCTCTCTTTGTATTGTTCAGTCTTTTAAGTAGCCCTTTTTGTTGGCCATGTCTTTTTGTTGTTCTTTAGTTTGGAGCAGAGACGCAGCAGAGTAAAGTAGCCCCGAGCTCTGCGGCCACCAGACCAATCCAGACCAGCAGAGAGCAGGTACCCAACGTCTCACCTGTAGACCTGAGGAAGCTGAACGTAAAGCCACAGACAAAACATAGAACCTAAAAAATAAAGATTAGTCAGCCCTGGAAATTTCCAGGAGGGGAAGTCCTTCAAGTCTCGGGGGAAGTACTTGAATGGGAATTTTGAGATTTGCATCAATTTCCACGAGTATATTTTCATCTTTAGAGACATGATCATGAACAAACTGGGGACAAGAGCAGGTTGATGATGTCCCTTTGTTGGCCTCCTTCACATGTCTGACATTTGATTTAAATGCCTGAACTCTGAGTGTTAACTCTTCGCTCAATGTCGCTCAAAGAATCAGAATCACTCTTATTGCAAAGTACATGTACACATACAATAAATAGTTCTCAGAGTTTCAGTGCAACAACAATTAATGTAGAAAAAGAAGTAAACAGCTATGAGAAAGCAGTACTTGTACTGTCTTAAATACAATAAGATAAAAAAATTCTGCTGGTTTTAATCGTCGATCTGGATGAAGAGACGTCTGTCAGCCAGCTTTCAGTTGAATATCTGGACAAAAACAAATTCTCTGAACTTTGACGTTGTTTTTGATTCTCAGATTGAGAACCACGCCGGGTTTTCAATAAATCAATAAGTTAAAACTAAAGAAAGTAAATTGATGATCTTTGATAACCCTGTCGTGTAATTGAATTAAAACAGGTCGTACATCTGCTGCTTCATAAATCCTACTTTTCTGTGACAGTTCATGAACAGAGTTTAGGTTTTACACGCTTTGTTGCAGATGTCTCCAACCTTACTTCATCTGAGAACTACTTAAAAAAAAAAAAAAAAAATGAAAGTGGCCAAGAGCTACTTGCATCACATTGCCTGCATTTATTTACATAGCACACATCAGCTGAATTAAGCTGCTGTTTGTACACGTATGAAATTGCAATACCCAACGCTTATCAATAATCTTAACTTCACATCAAGGTCCAAGAAAAAGAACATGACTATTTTACATTTCTTATTGTGCCACATAGTAAGCTATGTTGCTGAAAATTCACATCAATGTCCAAGAAAACATTCCTACTTTACACTTGTTTTTATGGGCTAAATATATGAATAGTGGGAAGAGGTGCATTTACAGTTGTCAGATTTTGGGATCTTCTGGGATCTGACTGAGTCAAAGAACATAAACTCATGTGCTGGTTGTCGTAGAAACCCTAGAGCCTCAAATGTTACTCAAAGTTTAAGGAGATGCAGACATTTTAATGTTTATAATTATCAATAGGAAGTCAGAGTTGTTCAATGCATGTGGCATCATGTTTGAGTTGTTTTTTACGGGGGCTGGGTGTTCAGTTTAATGTTCCAGTAAATAGTCACGTCCCCGCTGGACTTCCTGAAACCAAAAAAGAAAATTTTCCATTGATGGGCTTTTTTTTTTCTTCTTTTGTGTCTTTCTGTTTTTTTCCAGGGAGGGAAGAGTGAGATATTTGTGGACGTGATAGAGAGGATGTCGGTCGTCATCGGCTCCAACGTGAGTAACAAAACGTGATATAAACAGCCATTACTGGAACACTGACATTTAGAATAACAATTTTCTTGATTTGATCAGAGGAGATCAAATGAAATGTTGCACAGAGAGGTTCAAGATTTGACTAAGTTTCAACTCTTAACTAGTTGAGTCTTTTAAATACAGTGGAAGTAAACATACAGTCATGGTCTTATAATCAAGCAGACATATATATTCATGTCTTTTTATTAGTACCATTATTTATGATGTTATATAATGTTTCAGACTCTTCTCTCCAGGTGCTCAGAGAGAAACAGTAATAAAAAAACAGTATTTATTCATTGACCTGGTTTCTCTGCTGCTGCTGCTGCTGATGATGATGATGATGATGATGATGATGATGATGATGATGATGATGATGATGATGATGATGATGCTTTGTGCTGCAGGGAGTGGTGATGAAGGCCGACATCGAGGGAGAGATCAAAGTCAAGTGCTACATGCCGAGCTGCTCAGGTGAGATTGATCGCATCAGGTGTACAGACTGCTGATATCAAAACTCCAGAAAATTGAGCTGCATATGAGAACACAAACCGCCTCATTTTTCACCCTGACTTTTACTCAGAAGTTTTTCCTGCCTCGGCCTTGATGTGAAAATATGATTGAAACATATACACTAATAGTATATTAGTATTCTATTAGTGAGGAAGTATTCAGGGAAATTCACAGCAAGGCAGATGGTAGGGGTGCTGATACAGTGAATACATCGAATTACACAAAGCATTTATAGAAAGTCAAATAAATGTCAGCATGGCTCTGGACTCGTATGAGAAGGGCTTTAGCTGACCGTCTGTTCATTCCTCAGCACTGTTCCTGTTGACTCTGAGCTGACTCTGTTTGTGTCTGTAGTCTCTCTCTCTCCTGTGCTACATTCAAAGTCGATCAGTTAGTTTCAGTTTCAAAGCTACATGTGTGTTTTTATGATCTACTTGACATTTCATAATCCAATAATTGTGCTGCAGTTTGTTTGAGTTGAAAAGACAAAAGTTCAGAAGATGTTGAACTGGATTGTATGTTTTATAAACTTTATTATGTCGCTTCATTTTCATCATTGGTCAATTTTAGAACTGCAGCGATGAGCAGATTTATTCACTTAAAGGAAAGTAAAGTTAGCACCATTTTTAATATATATCAATTGTTCATTTAATCACATACTTATTTTATCTAAAGTGAAATAACTTTCTGCTTGTCTTTGTCAATGATGACACTAAATGTCCATTTTTTTGGTTATGAACTGTTGGTTGTCCAATAAAAGCTGTTAAGGTATCTCTTAATAGACCAAAAAGATTAATTCATTTTAAATAATGAGCATATGTTTCAGGGTTTTTTGTGTTCTTATAATTTTTTTATTATTATATTTACCTTTTATCATACAGACAAAACAAAGTTCAACAACAGCATATGTGTCTGTAATTAGGACAAGAGTTTGTCAATTTTATTTTCAGTTTCAGTCAAACAGCAACGAATGTCCGTTCTTTGTTTGCGTTGATGTCAGAATAAAACAGAAAATCATTTACCTATTTTTGCATCCAAAGGCAGAAGTTTGTCTTTGACTTGCATATTCAAATGTGTTCAACATCACAAGGTAACACACGAGGTACCACTTTTATAAAAACCATCAAACACACTTAAGAAACACAACATATACACAATAACAGAATCAAAACAGACACAACAGAGCGACATTAAAGCAAGGAACCAGGTTCTTATAGTGAATAGGGGTGTTTCATAATAATATAAAGTGCTTTGCCTGGATCTTTAGTTTACTAATAAAAACCTGCTGCTAAAACTGTTTAAAAATCTGATTTAAAGGAGCACTATGGAGTTTTGGTGGAGAAATGTCAAATTTGGAGAAGTGTACTGATTATGTGGTTTTTAACTCTCTACACAAACCGTCCTCAGAGGAAAATTTTGTCCCTGTAACACTGTTTGAAGATAAAATGCTACATGAGAAGTTATGGAGAGGGTCTGCAAAAGTGAAAGCGTAACTCTCCTGGTAGCTTTTTAGCTCCAAACAGTGTTCCAGAGATCCATTTTTCCTTTGATTAAAGTTTGAGTATTAAGTTCAGAAAATATAAAATTGTTTCACTTCTCCTACTTTCAAATGTCACCACCAAAACTCCACAGTGCTCCTTTAATCATACACGATCGATGAATACATCTGATATGGCAATAGTTTCCATCTCATCTTTTCAGATACTGATTATAGGATTTTTTTTTTTTAATTTTTCCAGTCAGATTCAGAGGACATTATAGAAAATAACATTTTGCTTTTTTGTTTTTATCTGGACAGTTTCACTTTATATGTCAGGACTTGACATAAACAGAAATGCATCAACTAACCCACATTATCGTCACAGTTAATTAAAAACAATCTGAAGCAGGACTTTATGAGGGAGGGTATTTAATTAAAACTCTCTGTTGATGTTAAAAGGTGTTTCTGTTTGAACAATACAATCTCTGTTCATTCAAAGATTGATCGTATCAAAAGAAAAAAAAACATAAAACAGACTGCACTGTCTAAATCCTAAACGTATTTGTGAAACATTGAAGACTTATTAGTGTAATTCAGACAGTGTGCAGGAGTCGGCCTGCCATTTTTGGTAAATAAAAATAAGAAATTACCCACTACTGGTTGACTTCAGATTCAGATTTAGATTCTTTATTGTCCCACAAGGGGAAATTTGTGTTGCAGCAGTCGCACACAGAAGACAGAAACACGAGGACAACATCACCATAAAAAATAAACGGAAAATAATTTAAAAAATCAGACAGCGCAACAAAATAGAAAACATAATAAAACGTAGCAATAAAATCAGTGAAGAGCTCATACCAAAATGGGAATTCCTACCAAGTTATTAAAGTGCGAAGTGAAGTTGTGCAAATGTGCAATTCAAGTGCAAAAAAGAGCAACAATTGGCTCATTGTTTTTGTGACTTGTATTTTTGTTGCCATGGTATCAAAACAGGTATCCACGTCGTCATTTTAAATACAATATCAAAGTTTAAAAATCCTAAAATGATGTCCTGGTTTTACAGAAATGCGGATCGGCCTGAATGAAGAATTCAGCATTGGCAAGTCACAGCTCAGAGGTGAAACACACACGCACACATGCACACATGCACACACACAAGTCTGGTCACAGATTTGAATGAAACTGCTACTGCCACCTCAAAATGTGAAACAAATAAATGAATGAATGTAAATAACTCAAACCCACCAGAGCACCTGTAGTCATATTAAAACCAAACCTTAACCTGTCACCTTCTCTTTCTTTAGTTTCCATCATAATTTAAAGAGTGAAAACAACAATAAGTCAGTTTTGTTGTTCTCATGTTTTAAATCCACAGCGACACACACAGCATGTTTTTAATCCGTCAACAGGATGACTTCATTTCCTCCATCTTTTAATTTCCTGCAGTTGAGTTTTATAGAGGCTGACAGCACCGTCCAAACACTAACGCTCGTGTGTCTTTACTTCACTGTTTATTTGTTCACCTTTTTTTTTTTTCAGGCTGGATTTAGACAGCTCATCTGCGTCTTTGAAATCTGCACTTTCTCTAATTATTCTTCAACATCGTTATGAATGATGATGTTATTGCCTTTATTATAGATTTATTTTTCTTTGTTCCATTCTCTTTTTTCATAGATTTAACAGGACAGTGATACAGGAGTCATTGTTTACGAGTAAAAATGTCTGAAAAGTGAGGCAACAGTTTGAACCAGAGCATTAAAATCCTCCTCAGTGAGTCGAGGATTTGGTTTTATCTGGTCTAAAACGTGTCTCACTCTACTCTGCAGGGTGGATGTTTCATGTTGTTTCAGGTGTTTGGGTCTCTGATTTTTTATTTTTTTTCCCTGTGTGTTTTCCCGTCCTCAGGTTACGGCTCTTCTGTTCGTGTCGACGAGTGCAGCTTCCACCAGGCGGTCCGACTGGATGAGTTCGACAGCAACCGGATCCTCCGCCTGTGTCCCAGTCAGGGAGAGGTGCTCTCAAAATACTCACTGTGTTACTGCATTTCATTTCTTCTCGTCCTGTCTCTGTGATAACTCTGCAAAACGTCCATCAAACAACAATCGCTGAATGTCAGCAAATCCACACACTTAAATATCGACTCACTGGAGCGCTGGTGGCTCAGTGGTTAGTGCGCGCGCCCCATGTACAGAGGCTGTAGTCCTCCAAGCGGGCAGCCCGGGTTCTAATCCGACCTGTGGCTCCTTTCCCGCATGTCGTTCCCCACTCTCTCTCTCTTTCTCTCCCTGATTTCCGACCCTATCCACTGTCCTATCTCTACAGTAAAGGCATTAAAAGCCCAAAAAAAAATTACTCACTGTATGCATGGACTGATATGTTCATTGACATATTTAAAGACTTACTAACTCTTTCACAGATGATTATCTGACTAATTCATGGATTTACAGAATTGTTTACACACTTAATATCTGATTATTGACTTTGTATAAATGATTAAAGGATTCATCAGAGGACTCAGGATTTGTTTACTGACGTCTTTATGACTCGTTTACTAACCTTATTTAAGGTCTTTTTTCCGACTTATTTGAGGACTTGTTTCCTGACTTATATAAAGGAACACACCTAACGCTCATTACCAAGGTAACTGGTGTTTAACTTTAGTAACCTAGCAACATTTAACGCATGTGAGAAGCACTCTGAAACTGAGGAAGTGAGACAGCGTTAAAAATAAACAGCGAAGGCAGTAATAGCCAGAGACAGAATTATTTACATCAAGATTTATTGACTGACTTTTTTTTTTTTGGACAATTGAAAAACTTATGGACTTACTGATGAACTACCCCATGGGGTTATCACGATACTATATATATGTTTAACTTTGATATGATTTTAGTAAAAATCAAACAATTTAGTTGTGTTTTGATACCATGGCAACAAAAATAAAAGTATGCACCCAATACTTTTAATGACCAAGAACTGCACTGTTTGAATTGTACTAATACGTATATTGACAATGTTTTGTAACAGCTTCCTTCCTCTATTACACATTCATTATCAATTTTAAACTCAACAGGTGACTGGATGGATTTTTGCCAAATCATTATTCCTCTGTCTTCCTCTTCATCTTCTTCTTCTTTTCTTTTTCGCAGCAAACAGTGATGCAGTATCAGCTGAGTGATAATCTGCCCTCAGCTCCTCCTTTCAGACTCTTCCCGACAATCGAGAGAGACAGCGGAGGAAGGTACACTCACTCACACACTCAAACTCTCTGCTCCTAAAGTCATGTTTGCATGCATTAAATCTTTGAACCCTTTGGCAATCATTGTCTATCGCCGTCTGACAGACGATACATGCACCTCAGAATGGATGTTAATTACTCCATAATTCTGTTGATCAAGCGGTTAGCGTTGAACGAATTCCAGGCAAGACTTCCTTTGAGTGCGGCATTAACGTCCGCTGTGTACACACTGTCATTTCTTGGTCAATAACATCCCGGAGAAGCGCCCCCTTCGTCTGTTGAGTTTTAGTTCAACAGTAGAATATAATGTCCTGTTTCCACTAAGTGTTCCAGTTTGATTTGGTACGGTACGCATTTATTGGTGTTCTCACTGTCAAAAGTTGGGAATGGTACCAAAAAAACTGATCTGTACTGTCCTACTTTTTTCTTCCCTTCTTTTGGGGTGCCGATCCGACCCTAAAGGGTGGAGGTAGACGCGCTGCAGCCTGTTGATTGGTCAAAAGAATAGTCACTTCCCAACTTACAATGTACAGCTCCACAATAAAACATGCTCTGAGTTCTAAATGTATTTCTCCTTGACTGTATAAAAGGATGGACGTCACATCTCCGTCTCCTCCTGTTGTAAAACATTTAAGCCAAAGTACTCCTGCCACGACTGCTGACATTTTGTTCTGGTGAAATAATTTTGGAGCCAATCTAAGAAGTAAAGATCGGCAGGTGGAGCCGCCAAAATTGAAGTCCCGCTCCTTTCTTTAACAAAAACCTACACATGAAACTTAGCGATAAAAGGTCAAAGATCCCTCAGGTGGGTGTGGCCCACAGCAGATCAGAGTGTCATGTTGGTTAGAAGCAGACAGTCACTGTTATCGAAGGTTCAAAGACTCCTATGTTAGTGTTTGTAACAGTTCCTCTTACTGTTCCTCCTCTAAGCTGATAACAAATTGACGTAGGAGTCTCATTTGTCAACAGAGCTGTCAATCATGGTGTTACATCCGCTGTTTTTGGCATCAAGTAACTAATTAAAACTAAATTTTAAAAAAAAGTACACTTGGGCATTAAAAAGCCTGATAAGAACAAACTACAGACAGAAACCATGTTTGATCAAAATGTGACATGTATTTCAAAATCAAAGTTTGTCCCATGTCCCATCTGTAAAGATGGAGGAGGCGGGGCTTATGTCCTGATCTGCAGTCATTCAGCAGAGGGAGCTCCACATTTTTGGGATTTACTCCCAGGGGAATGTTGTTCCGTCCATCTTTGTAAATGATAAATGGACTTAAGCTTGTAAAGCACTTTTCTAGTCTTCTGACTACTCAAAGCGCTTTCACACCACAGGTCACACTTACACATTCACACACTGATGGATTACTATGTAAAGTGACCATCAGAAGTAACTAATCCTTACACATTAATACACCGCTGATGAAGCAGCGGAAGCATCAGACATGTTGCTGCAGGAGCTGGGGATCGAACCCCCAACCTTCTGGTTGAGAGACAACCGACTCTACCAATTGAACCATCAGCTGCAGTCTATGGTGTTTCCTCATGCTGATTGTTTTTCATATATTTTGGTATTCTTACACCTAAAACTAGAAGTCTAAAAATGTGAAATAAAAACACCACAACCTGAAAATGTAGATTTGATATACATGGATATATTTTTCCTTTTTCTTTTGCAGGCTGCTGATGTATCTGAAGGTCCGCTGTGATCTGCCACCAAAGAGGTCAGTTTGTATGTACTTACTCTAAAACCAGATATATCAGGGAGCTATGTTATGTACTTGTTAAACAATTACCTCGTTAAGTCCAGTGATACCAAATTCAGGAGATAAGCGCCTCTAAAAAGTCACCAGATTAATCAGAATGAACCAGAAAAGTTCTGGTACACTAATCTTTTTGATTTTTTGGACATTTTTTTTAATCTTAACTTTGTTCATAAAAAGTTTGTGATTTAGCCTCTTAGAGAATCAGTTATTTAGATAATAACCTTTCAAATGAGACAAATGGTTAGGGTTAGGGTTACTTTAGGGTTGTACTTTAGTAGGCTTTGGTCTGACAGGTGATCACTCAGGTACACCGTGTACATAAACATACTGAGGATTAGTGCATGTTGATGTTGCTGATGATGTCATTGTTCCCACAGCGCTGCCATCAACGTGTGTGCGTCTGTCCCTGTCCCTAAAGGCTCTGTGAGGTGAGCTGCTTCATTCAAATCAGCTGCTGGTCTCTCGTGTTTGTTATGAAAATGAGTCTGTATGTAAAAACTCACCTGGCTGAGTGCATGTTGATGTTGCTGATGATGTCATTGTTCCCACAGCGCTGCCATCAACGTGTGTGCGTCTGTCCCTGTCCCTAAAGGCTCTGTGAGGTGAGCTGCTTCATTCAAATCAGCTGCTGGTCTCTCGTGTTTGTTATGAAAATGAGTCTGTATGTAAAAACTCACCTGGCTGCAGACCTGAGTCCGTTCTGCTCCGCTTCTATCAGCTATTATTTGAATATGACTTGATGTTTAGGTCCTCCATAGCTGTTGTGTCTATAAGCTCTGTGAACAAAAAGAGAAATGTTTCAGTCCAGACAGAAAGTTGTTTACAGGCAGAGAGGTCCTGTTTCTACGGACAAGAATCAAATGTTGAAAACTGTTAATTTTTAGAGGGCAGCTGGGTTTTTGAATATGAAACAACATTAACAAAGTAGGTCGCCTTATAGAGCAGAATGAGGCGCTCCTTATTTGTTATTTAAAACTTATGGAAATGTAAGTCAATGATTCGTGGACCGTCAGTTTCCCTGACATGAGGTGGAGCTTTCAGTTTTCTGATGCAGCAATACTTTGAGACAAGTTAGAGAGGTAAGACCTTTTAGAGAACGTCCACATTAAGCAGCTAAATTTAACTTAGTAAGAAATGTGTCTCTCTTTAATTTCACACTCCATCCAGACTAAAAACAATCATCTGGTTGTAGCTGTGACTTCCTCTTAAAACATGGATGATCTATCCCTTCAATGAGAGTGAAATGGCCTCTTATAACCACCTACTGTTTATCCAAAGAGACCGGTCTGACCTTTCTATCGGGTTGAGAGGAGTGGTGCAAACCAGAGTTGTCAAGATACGAGAATTTAAAACTTAGTGATGATACTAAATCAAACAATGTCAGTAACAATTTCAATACTACAGCGTGGGTTCTCTCCGGGTGCCACGGCTTCCTCCCACAGTCCAAAGACGTGCTCGTTAGGTTAATTGGTGACTCTAGGTTGCATGTAGGTGTGAATGTGAGTGTGCCTGGTTGTCTGTCTTTATGTGTCAGCCCAGATTGTAACCCGCCTCTCGCCCAATTACAGCTAGGATCGGCTCCATCCCCCCCGCGACCCCAAACGGCGAAAGCAATGTAGATGATGGATGCAAAAATATAAATCCTCACACCTAGTGCCAATTTCAAACTCCTGCACACTGTCTAAATTACGCAAATATACATACAGATAGGAGCCGTTTTTGTCACTGTTTTGTAAGCGAGCAGCAGACTTAAATTTAATGTGAGCAGTAACTGGGAGCCAGTGTACTAATGTGTACTTTGTGTTTGTGTAAATGAATAGAAGAAATACTGTGTTCATATATCACCAAGAACACAGTATTTCTACTTCTTATGTAACAATGGTCTTTGTGAAAAAACCTTTAGCTGTTTTCACACATGCACTTCTGAAAATGTCTAGAAATGTCAGGACAGACTGCCCCTGAAATCTTCCCGAGTTGCTCTCTCGGTGAGCAGTAAAGGTATGAAACAGCTTTAACATGTACTCAAAGATAGAACCGCTCACTCAACCCTTGTGTGATGTACACATCATATGATGTTGACTTCAGGAGGAACATTTTACTAGGAGGCCGGCAGGAAAAAGAAGAAGAAGAAAAAAAAAAAGAAGTTCCGTGTGCATCGACACATGGACGAGCTGCGTGTGTGAAGGATGATGTTCAAAATAAATTGGCCTGTCAGAGGTTTGCATCTTTGTGCATCCACGGGCAGGCTGCGTTGAAATAAAAAATAACAAACCCCTCCAGGGTCTTTATTTTAATTCACATCTCAAGAAGCACAAAGCTGCTGTGATTGCCTGCCAAACTTTAAAAAAACAAACACATACAGTTTGAAACCATGATGCACAAAAACACACAAACACACAAACACACAAACACACAAACACACCAAAACGCCCTGACTGAAGCTCTGTGGTTGAATGATGCTGTGACAGAGTGAAATCATGTGAAAGCTCTCAACTGGATTATCAATCAAATCACTGTGTGTGTGTGTGTGTGTGTGTGTGTGTGTGTGTGTGTGTGTGTGTGTGTGTGTGTGTGTGTGTGTGTGTGTGTGTGTGTGTGTGTGTGTGTGTGGTGTGTGTGTGTGTGTGTGTGTGTGTGTGTGTGTGTGTGTGTGTGTGTGTGATGTGTGTGTGTGTGTGTGTGTGGTGTGTGTGTGTATTGTGGGTTCAGTTTGTCTCAAGAGCTCAGCAGCCCAGATCAGAGTGCCGAGCTGAAGCAGCAGAGTCGCGCTGTTGAGTGGAAGATCCCCCGCTTCACTGGAGGAACACAACTGTCTGCACTGTTCAAGGTTATTATGAACACAAACACACACAATCACACATATTGATACTTTTGGTAAAGGACACAAAACCTGCTGTTATCGGCAAAAGGTTTGTTGCCAAGTTTTTGCTAAAAGCCCTAACCCTTTTTAGAAAAGGAGCAAAATGTGTCTCCTTGTTTACAATTGAATCACGTATCATATTACCAAGTTCTTGCAAATATACTTAGCCCTATAACATGCTAATGTAAGACGGCAACATTTTTTAATATTATGACATCATCTCATGAACTTACCCGTCAGTCTAAATACAGCCCATTGACTGTATATTAAGATGGACAGAGCAACAGCTGCCTGGGAGTGAAGCCGAGATATTTAGAGCTCCCCCTGCTGACTGGCTGCAGTATAGGTCATAAACCCCGCCTCCGCCATGTAAACAGAAGGGATGTTGGTCAATCCTTTAATTTAAAACGCACGTAAAAATCATTTTTGTCATCTTTAAAAAAATCTGCAGTATTTATTGCCTAGGAATGATGTGTAAAGTTTAGTTTTTTACAAAAATAAGACATTACAATTTGACCTGCTACATTGGCAGTTTGTTACAGCTACAAGCCCTGTAGACCTTTTTCTATATATTTTTATATATGAAGTTAGATGTTTATTTGGATTTGTCAGGTTAAAGTAGCTTACATCAAGTTTAATAAAATAGTTTTGACTAGATGTTAGACAAATAGACTTGGTAAGATTTGAGTTTTGGTATGTTTTAATTTGTGAAAATAAACAACTGCTTATTTGCACCAATCATAGATAGAAAGATTTACTTTATTGATCCCAAACTGGGAAATTGTGGTCATCATGTCTTTAAAGGAAATTGAGCAGGGAATGATCAGGGAATCAGTGCACCTTTAAAATCAAATGTTTTCTTATGCTTGTTCACTGGATTTAATCTATTTAGAGAGTTGAAATGAAGAGAACTAAACAAATACACTACATTGTTTCACACAGAGCAGGTGGAGCATTTTTACCTGATGACAAATACATTCTTTTTAATCATGAAAAAGCCTGTTGCTGCTCAATAAACAAAAGATCATGATTATTACTGTTTTATGGTCCTCTTGTCTGCTCCAGCTGGAGGTCCCTGGTCTCAGCTCGGCCTCCATGTTGGAGGTCGGTCCAGTCGGTCTGAGCTTCGAGCTGCCTCAACTCACTGTCACAGGGCTTCAGATCCGCTTCCTCCGCCTGTCACCCGTCCAGCCCGGCCCGTCGCAGCGCTGGGTCCGCTATGTCACACACTCTGACTCCTACATCATCAGAGTTTAACCCCCAAAAACCTCTGCTTCAAAGTACCCGTCAGTTTTATGATGGAGCTGCAGGAAAATCTGGTTTATAGACTTTGGGGCCATTATACAGTTCATGTTTTATCTGTACATTTCTTTGGCTCCAATGAGAACATCTGTTCTGTTTTTGTGTTTGAATTTATCTCAGCTCAACAGATAATAATACAATTACCTTTATGTGTTTGTGTGTAAATAAAATATGAAGCCATGTGTTATCTTTACATGATCATGTGTTTGTGTTTTTGTTTGTTCTCGGATAAGTTTGATACATTTTAATACCATGTGTTTTAAAACGATACAATCTCTGTTACTTTAAATATCTATCGTTTTAAATAAACATGAAGACGTCACACAAGACCGGTGTGTATGCCAGGAATGAATTCATACAATTGCAGATACACTCCTGCACAAAAGTACTGGACACATTTCAGTACAGAACATATTCTGACATGCTTGGAGGACAACGGCCTCCGTACATTGGGTATGCGCACTAATCAGTAGTCTACAGATGATCCACATATACTTTTAATTTATCCAACAACTTGTTCAGATTCTCTTTAAGATTTAATGGTTTTTCAAAGTAGCTTTTAACCTTTTAAAAATAAGATAAACACTTTATTAATCCCACAGCGGGGACATTTTAAGTGTTAACAGCAGCAAAGCAAATGCAAGCAGAAAAACTGCACTGATAATTAAAAAGTTAAAGAAAAAAACTGTTTGAGTTGCGCACAGTGCACAACAAGGTTGATGTTTTAAGTCAATTTAAAGTTCGGACCCATTAAAGGAATAGTTCAGAAACCTAAGGAGGATGAGGGTGAAGATGAGTCTTTTTTTCCTGATGCAGGTCTTGCAGTGCATGCTGCAGCTTCATACCTGACAGACATGAAGCTGGTTTAAATCTCATCTCAGGCTTTTGCTGTCAACAAGAAATTACTCAAAAAAATACTCAGCAAATAACAACTGACAGACACATTGAAAAACAAGCATGAAGTGTGACATGACTGAAGTATTAAATACTGTTACTGAAACAAATATAATACATGGTATTTAATGTTGTGCACTATTATTGGCACATAAAAAAAAAATATATATATATATATATATATATATTTTTTTTTTTTTTTTTTTATATACATCTTTGTCTATTTTTCATCTGGGTTTAATGTTCCCCACTGACAAAACAACTGGCCCCAGTTTGGCCCCCTCAGTAAAAGTGGTCTAGAACCGCCACTGAGTGTATCACTCTTCATCAAGTATAAATTTTCCAGCCTTAGCACTGCAAATGTCCCCACTGTGGTAACTTTAATTTATTTTTTTACCAATTATATGTTTGATACATTTATTGATGCAATGTCAAGTATAGGATATTCGGCAGAATCAAACCAAGAAACCTAACAATCAGAATCACGATCTGTTTTTATTGCCAAGTACATACACATACACATACAAGGAATTTGTCTTGGTGACTTTTGATGCAATACAACTATTTCTTTAGCATGTGTGCAAAATGTGGGTAAAATACGAAAAGACAAAGACAAATGGTATAAATGACACAACTTAACAAGCTGTAGACCTAAATCAGGCAATACTGAGAAAGTCGCTATAATAGCCTATATGAGATAATAGAAATAAGATTTAATTTTGACCAATAACTGAAAGTGCAATCTTTTAGGACAGGCTTGGTTACAGGTGTATATCAGGTGTATATCAGGTGTATATCAGGTGTATAACAGGTGTATATCAGGTGTATATCAGGTGTATAACAGGTGTATAACAGGTGTATATCAGGTGTATAACAGGTGTATATCAGGTGTATAACAGGTGTATAACAGGTGTATATCAGGTGTATAACAGGTGTATATCAGGTGTATAACAGGTGTATAATCAGGTGTATAACAGGTGTATATCAGGTGTATAACAGGTGTATATCAGGTGTATAACAGGTGTATAATCAGGTGTATAATCAGGTGTATAATCAGGTGTATATCAGGTGTATAACAGGTGTATAATCAGGTGTATATCAGGTGTATAACAGGTGTATATCAGGTGTATAACAGGTGTATAATCAGGTGTATAACAGGTGTATATCAGGTGTATAACAGGTGTATAATCAGGTGTATATCAGGTGTATAACAGGTGTATATCAGGTGTATAACAGGTGTATAATCAGGTGTATAACAGGTGTATATCAGGTGTATATCAGGTGTATAACAGGTGTATAACAGGTGTATAACAGGTGTATATCAGGTGTATAACAGGTGTATAATCAGGTGTATAACAGGTGTATATCAGGTGTATATCAGGTGTATAACAGGTGTATAACAGGTGTATAACAGGTGTATATCAGGTGTATAACAGGTGTATAATCAGGTGTATATCAGGTGTATAACAGGTGTATAATCAGGTGTATATCAGGTGTATAACAGGTGTATAATCAGGTGTATAACAGGTGTATATCAGGTGTATAACAGGTGTATGTGATGCAGTAATTCATTGTGTCTGGTTGTAATGACACTTAAACATGTTCCCACTATCTTCACGATGAATCAACATTTAACCCAGCTTCTTGTTGTCATGTTTCTGAAGACAGTGTTGCGCAACATGATCTGCAGCCGCTGCACACACACACACACACACACACACACACACACACACACACACACACACACACACAGAAACACACACACACACACACAGAAACACACACAAACACACACACACACACACACAGAAACACACACACACCGAACACAAACACACACACACAGAAACACACAGAAACACACACACACACACCGAACACAAACACACACACACAGAAACACACAGAAACACACACACACACACACACACACACACACACACACACACACACACACACACACACACACACACACACACACACACACACACACACACAGCCTTTGCGGAAGCCAGAGGAGCCGAGGCGGCGCTAAATTAAATTAGCATACTAACTATTTAGCAGTGCGCGGATGTGGATGGACGGGTGAACGGAGCTGCAGCACAAACACACAGCTTCTACAGACAACACACCGCCGGTCCGGGCTCATTTTGTCTGGATCTTGCCGCAGTCCGCCTGCCGAGGAGATGGGGGACAAGGCGGGCACCAGGTAGGACGGCTAAGCTACAGATGCTAAAAAGCTAGTTAGCATCAGCTCTCGCGTACTTTGCTAAGCGTTAGCCGAGCTGATGCTGGCCCAGGAGAGGGAGTTTTGTGCAGCTCAGATTTACCAGCTTCATGACAATAACTTGACATAAACAGCGCCGAGTGGGCTCCGGGATCGTGACTTCATCTTTGCTGTGATGACCTCGTTCGCAGGAGGCGAAGTTAGCCCAGCAGGGTGGGGTTAGCTAACAGGACGCTGCTCACATATCTGTCAAATCTCTTTTCTCTACATCTAAATATCTGACCAATCATCAACACGAAATGTACATTATATACTTCACAAAACACACACAGCAGCATATTTTATGCAAAAACACGATTTAGTGTTGTGGGTAGGAATTCCCACGGTGCCTTTCCAACAAAATACGGCCGTGGTGGGCGGTATCGACAAGGGGGAATCAAGTGTTAAAACACCCGAGAATATTTAATCTGGTGATGCTTTATGGATGGCATCAAAGCCGATTTAAACACAGGACTTTAATTATTAAAGGAAACACACACACTTTCGTTTTTCTCCCTGATTTACAGGAGAAATGCTGAAAATGAATGTATTCAAATGGAGTTTGGTGGGAGTGCGCTGGCTATCTGATGTTAGCCTGCTACTATTGAAGGGTTATTCGGGTGTTCAGATTATTACCTGTAAAATGTATTTTGGTGAGTTTGGAGACTTGTCTTTGAATTTTTTCTCTCTTGTTGCATCTTTAAAATAAACGAGAATTGCTAAATTACAAAAAAAAACAACCCCAGTTTGAGTGAGCAGATAAACCGTGATAACAAACCTCGGTTTGTTTGTTTTTTTGACATATGAAGATGCTGTGTTGACTTAAATATTACACCTGCTGGATTGACTGATTGTCAGGTTTCCTCAGGGCTTCGGCGAGCTCTGTAAGGTTGTGAAAGCTCTCCATACTTTAGTTTACTTGTCTTTTTTAAAAAGGATTCAATCGCTGTTTAGTTAATGATCGATAGTATCTTTAAAAAACTATTTTATAAAACAGGTGCTTAGGAGAGGAATAAATCCATCAGCAATTGCAGGCAAAGTCCTGCACACTGTCTAAATTATAATTGTTGCTCAGTTTTGCCTGCAGTTTCTGATCATTTAAACAAGAAATGTCCAATTATTTTATGATAGAAGGTTTATATTCTGATGATAGCCCTACTGTTTTTTTTCTACATAAAGTGTGTTAGGATTGTTGTGTATCTGCAGATCCTGATCAGAATTATAAATCCTGTTTTCAGACTTCTGATCTGAGGTAAATCTACAAATGTTTCCCATCTGAATCAGCTCTTGGGGTTTAAAGGATTTTTTTTTGTTTTCTGCCTTGTTTACATGTTTGTTTGTTTTCGGTGTATTGCAGCTGAGAAGGAGATTTCCTACAGCACAGCGCTGACTCAGCTTTAATCTGAGGCTATTTACGTCCTGCATATTTGTCATGTACATGCATACATAAACACGGGTTGGTGGGATTATCTGCACACCTCTTTGTTTACTTGCGGTGCGCTCGGGCTTTCTTCTCGTCTGCTTTTATAGTGACTGAACTTTACAATCAGGGCGTCCCTTCTTCTGTAACGGACACTGACATTTACTGAGATTTAAGTAAACAGACCTTCTCACTCCTGTCTGAACTCACTCTCTCTGTCACTTCCTGTTAGGAAACAGGTGGGAAACAAGGGAGGAGAGGAAACGAGCAGGGGGAAAGACAAACACTAAGCAGAAAGTTGGACTTTTGAACATATAAACATGATGTTGGATAGATTCAATGATCAGCTGCCCTCAATGATAAAACAACAACATATAACAGGGGAAAGTTCCTGACTTCACCAGCTGATTTTTACATACAATTCCTCATTCATCTGTTGGAAAAGCTGCCATGAGGATGTCAAGAACCAGAATTTAAACTTTGATGTGATACGAATCAAACAATATCAAAACCTGTTTTAATACAACTGCAGCAGAAAGTGAAGCCATAGACACCCAACTTTGGGTCATTTCTTATTTTCAATTATCAAAAATTGCAGGCAAATTCATGCACTCACAAACGTTGCCAACGTAATTGAGCAATTTAGAGAGGTGACCTCATTCTCGTGATTAAAAATATGACCTGTAGTCATGAATCTGTAGTTTTTATTAAAGCTTTGGTACATTTTTTATATCATCAATCATTGAGTAGTGAAAACTGGATTGTCTTATATATTGAAAAGTATCTAAGTCTCTAAGCTGCATGTCTTAGTGAAGGGTGTTTCTTGTATAATGCTTACAACACTTCTTTTCATTCATTCATTATCTCACTTAATCTATTTTATTGTTTGGTCTTTTAAATGTCAGAAATTATTGAACAAATGTCCCTCAGGGTTTCCAGTCGTTCTCTGGCTCATGCAGTAGTCATCAGAGTTGTGTGTTGTTGTTTTAAATTGATACAACGTGCACAAAATGAAAACGTCCTCTTATGGGCTCATTATTTGTTTTTGCAGTGGAAGCCAACATGTTGTAGCAGCCAGCTACGAGCTAGCAGCAAGTATAGCATCCTCTGTGTTGTTGGTGTGAAGACACCCAGTGGACCAGCGACATTTGTTAGAGATTGCGTCACTGAAAGAAGAGAAATGATTGTCGAAGGCAATGGAGGGAGAGGAGGAGAACACCATTCCATTCAACTACTAATGATGTGTTTTGTGTTTGTCAGAAAGACGTTCACAGGAAGGTGAACCTGTTTGTTGTTAAAGTAACCGTGAATGTCCTCCTGTTGTACCTGCGGTTTGTGTGACCCAGTTTGATTTATCAAAGAAGCGACACGAAAAAACTGAAGCAAGTGCTCAGTGCTGAGGTATTAACAGAGTGACTTTAATCATTTCAGCTTTTTATCAAAGAAAAACATCAAGCTGACCACACAAATATAAAACTGTTCTGACTAAATGTAACCCACAGCCTAATGGCTTCATTATATCCAATTATTATTGAGTTACATTATTTAAACCTCGAGGGACTGCAACAACAAGCGGCTTCTTTGAATGACTAAGAACACTTGTGGTTTTGCTTCAGGCTAACCAGAGCTGCTTTTCTCTGTTTATGGATTTCTCTATAAAATAGTGAAAAATGTTGTGGTTTTTTTTCTCCCACGGTCCAATTAAAAGTAGCAAAGAAGCATGATTAAATTGTCTATAACTTAAAAGATATTCAGTTTATTGTTACATTTCACCATACCTTTTAAATTAGAGAGACTAGATCAAAATGTTTTGTTGGTTTTTTTTTTTTTTTTGAAAATTGAGATTTATTGTCAAAGTAGTTGAACATTAATTATCTGTGTTAGTTCACTGCTAAAGCTCTAGTACATCTTGGTTTTATTGGAAAGACCACAAATACAGACGAGTTAGAATTCATAGAGGCATTTAATTAGAAGTTAAAAATTCCCATAAATCCTTCTGCTTTCCTTTCCTGACGTTGCGTGATTGAAAGCCTTTGCCGTTCTCTCAGATGAACTTTGTGTTTCCTCGTTGACCTCCAGTGTTTTTGTTGTTCTTGTTTACAGCAGCAGCAGGTTTAAACGGCTCATTGAGTTCTGTTCAAACCTGTCTGATGACTTCTGTGTACTTCCAGCCAGGTTTACCTGTATTATTTTTTATAATCATTGTTATTATAATGTCTCCATCGTTAAGCCGGTGATATAAATGTCAGCAAAATGAAAGAAAGGTTGGGCTAAACTATCATAATTAGAGCGATGTTTTGAGGGCGTGGAGTTTTCTGACGTCCTCTGCTGTGTTTTGGGTTGAGTTTCTACTTTTGTACCATTTGGGATGTAAAATAATGTGCATGAGACGTGCTTAAGGAGAAGTCCAGTATTTTAAACATGGGCCCTTTGTTTACATACGACACACATTGGTCCAGAAGATTTCTTAATCCTGCACCAGCAAAACAGACTCTGATGAATGCTGATCAAACTACCGCCTAAGTGTCTCATTTCGACTTCCGAGTGTCTTGACAACATTACAGAAAGGATCCTCACTACAGCTGAACGATGTATCGCTTTAACTTCCCGATCGTGATGTGTGCGTGCACAACGGTCACATCGCAGGAGGTGTGATGTCTGTAGAACGTAGTGCTTCCACTTTTGTGCTGCTGGGTGCAAACCAAAACCGCCAGTTTTCACGTTTAATAACATCTACAATAAGTCTGTCCGATATCACCTTGAAAAGTCAGAGAACTGACCACTGTGCATGCAGAGTCTGTGTCAACTACACCGGCATGACGCTGAAGGCAGACTCACAATCACAGATTTGCTGGTGCATGTTAATGCTGTGGCCACATACATAAACAGGGCGGATGTGCTGCTGATTTTTTTTTTTTTTTTTTTTTTTTTTTTTTTAACTTACACGTGCAGCGACCACGGTGAAGCGTTGTTTGAGTCACAGGCAGCTCAAGACGGTGAGCTTTAGTTTAATAAGAACTTACAATCACAGACTGGTCATTTAGACTAAACAAAACTATGAACATCATTACAAGTGGTTGAACAAGCAACACAATTACAAGCCAAATGTTTATTTATAAAGTTTATACAGTGTCACTCCACCTGTTCCCTCTCCACCTTTCCTCCTCCTGCTCCGTGTGGGTGTCAGAGGGCTGCACCCAGTAGGAGGGAGTTTAGATTTGAAATCAGAAAATGACTATAAGAGGAAGATAATAGAAATGATAATTATTTGATTTAAAAATTAGGTAAAAAGACCCTGAATTTATCTGGTATAATTTACTTTTCGCATTAAAAAACACATTTCCCAGAAAGATTTCCCCCCCCCCCAAAACCACTCTTTCACCATCTCATCACGACCACCAGACTCCAATGGGGAAAAACATAGTAATTTTGCCTCTCAGAACACCAACGTTTTCGTCTCAGACATTTGGTTTGTTTGTGTTATTTTGTGACTTTGGTGTTGAAAATGGCTAGCTTGGATCCA